AACGTGGGCAATGTGAGACCGTTAGAGTGCCCAGGTTCTAGTGTACACTAACACAATAATAATAATAATAATAATAATAATAATAATAACAATAATTCAAGGCCCTCCTGAGGTATTGTACGTTATGTTGTGATTTTCCAGCAATGTTGTATGCACATTTGTGTTACTGCAACTTTTTTTTTTTTTTGCTGTGCTTTGTGTGCCTCAAGTGTTGTTGTTTAGATACAATTCTCCATAACTGATTTTATTTAGTTTGATAGTTCATAAATGCCCCTGCCCAATCTTTGTGGAAATACGGTATACTGTATAAGGCTAAACTGAAGCCATTACTTTAACACGAGTCTTACTATCCAATACTCCTTTGCTTGGTCATCATTCTCTCCAGCTACTTGGTGCCCACAGAAGCTCAGGTATGCCTTGGATCACAGGAAGTGTCTTACATCAGCAGCATATCAGAATCGTTTGAGGTTTTTGAAGAGAGTTGCGCATCGGCTCCTGGAGGTGTAAACCATCCGAGGTTTGAACAACACTGAGGGCATCTTACCTTTTGCGGGTGAGAGTCACACACCTAAGACTGTTGGACAACTCTTACTGACTTGAATATATGAAAGGTGTCGGGACATTAAAGGTAGAGAGTGACTGATGGATGCAAAGAGAGAGAGAGAGAGAGAGAGAGAGTTTGACATATCATTAGGGAAATTGCTGCCCAGTCAGTGTGAGAGGGACGTCTCAATGTGTCACTCCGGAGAAGGTCATCCATGAGAAGGGTAAAACTTGATACACTCTGCTCGCTATCGGACATAATGGGAAAACCGGGAGGGAGGGTTGGTGTGAAGTTTGTCTACGCCAGTCTATGAACGTATCAGTGTTCGTCCGGCCTGGAGCCAAACTTGCTGGGGGACGTTTTTAGTCATTTGACCTGCCCGACTTCCAAGTGTCACAAGTGAACAAAGATAGGGATGAAGTCCTTGCTATTTTACGGGCCCGTCAAGGCCAGGAACATAATCGTGGCACTACCAATGGCAATAATTCACTGCTGTTACTTCAGGGAAAGCAGCTTACATGACTACGATACAGGAACACAAGATAAGCTTTGGCATTTAGTGGTGGTATCTTTTAGTGATGTGCGGATCGATACTGAAATATCACTACCTCCGATACCAGATCTTTTTGCTCTAAAATGAATACTCAAATCAAAATACTGGTAGCTTTGATGCATGAGTCATTGGAGGAGAATATATTATTATAAATAGGAACACATTAGAAAGTAAGCCCTTGCGATCTTGTCTGAATGATATGCGCTTGGTGGGAGCTACTGGTACCTCTGCCCGGCTTAAGGTTTACTTGCACAAAGTATTGGATCAGTATCACTGATACAATCTTGAATTTGACTCATTATTTGTCAAGAAAGAAAATTAGTGGTGTCCAACAAGACTATTTTTATACCCTTATAGGCTCCACTTGGTTACTACACTTTTCACTTCTTTTATTCTTGCTTGTTTGCCAGGGTTTTTTTCAATGTTTTTTTTTTCTGCAACAACCATGAAATACATTGTCTTAAAGTATACAGATGAGCAACCAGTAATGCTGCATTCTGAACAGCTAGAAGTGATATTACTGACTTTGCAACCTAATACTGCTATTTGTAACCATGCCATGCTTGGTGGCAGTCCGGTATGAAAGCACTAAAATATGTATGAGTTTCGTTGCATTTAGGGTTCGAACTAACAGTTGGTAGCGTTGCCACAAGCGTGTCCATCTTATGGTGATATATAAAGCCAACGCTTTAAAACAACAACACTACAGGGATTGATCTCCACGATACAGCCATCTTGCCTCTGTGTCACTGCAGAAACAGTACAATAGGGACTGTAACTACATTACCCGTAGTCATTTACCAGCTGGTCTTTCTTTTTATATGGACTAAAACGCTAGTGCGCTAGAAATACTGTGCTGATTTATTTGTGGACTTTCGAGGTGCACATCATCACGAGCAGTGTCGCGGTGGTCGACTGGTTACCACGTCCACCGCACAGTGCAGACGTGCAGGCTTCGATTCCGGCTCCGGTCTACCTGTGTGGCGTTTGCAATCTTCTTCCCCGTGCCTCCGTGGGTTTTCTCCGGGTACTCCGGTTTCCTCCCACTTTCAGAAACACCCATGGCAGGTTAATGGAACACTCTAAATTGTCCCTGGGTGTAACTATGAGCACGAATGGTCGTCCGTCTATGTGTGCCCTGCGAGAGGATGGCAACCAGTTCAGGGTGTAAATCGCCTACCGACTGAAGACAGCTGGGATAGGCTGTAGCACGCCCGCGACTCTCGTGAGGATAAGTGGATTTGAAAATGGATGGAAACAAGCTCTCTGCTTTACTGGTGCCTACTAAATGAACGCAAAGTAAAAAAGTAATGTTTGAATTTGTAATAACAGCTTCTACATCGTTGTTGATGGTGCGCTCGATTGTACGGAGTTGAATAAAGTCTGTGTCAGGACAAAATCCCAATTGTCGAAAACTGTGGTCTCAAATAGCAGTCGATCTCTTGTGGAGCATTCTGTGACCTTGCTCATTGTGTTCATTTTCAGATCTGGTCTACTTAAAGGTGTGCCAGGTTTTTGAAAATACATTCGTAGGCTCGCTCATTTTGCTCATGACCATGTCTTTGACTTGACTGCTGTTGATGTGTATCGCCCACAGTTCCGCACAGTACAATATTAATTAAAGGCACAGCTTACCATTCCTTCCTGTTACTTTGAAGCACAACAGATATAATACTCCTGTTATCAACACAAGCACCATTGAGCAAAAGCATCCAGTCACTCGCCTGGTAACAAGATACATGTTTGTTACCCTCTTAAACCACCCAGATAAAACACCTCTCAATCAGGACTGCCGAGTCGACTGTGAGCCGCAATCTACAGTACCGTTGACTTTTTTTGTACAAGCCCAGGATTCACAGACCTTCATGGAGCCATGCTAAATTCATGGGAGAAGCAAAAAAAATGACTCTGAGAAACCAAATCATTTTCATATATTCGGTGAGAAGCTTTGTGTGTTTTGCGCATACGCTGTCTGTCCCCCCTGCTTAGATGCCTGTCACGTCACACTGCCCTTTGCTTTGGACCTTCAATGTCAACACTACATTCCTATGTGGGCCTGATTTGTGATGTGTTCCTCTCACTTTTACTGTCCCGCCTGCTGGTTGCCTCTGCTTTGCTGGTCAGTGAAATTGATTGATGCTAGCGACTGACGACAAGGAAATGTCACATGCCATTAGATCACGAATCAGCCAGACTACGTATGCCATTTAGTCGTATTTCTTTTAGCACCGTTGATTACAGAGCGCTGGCAATCCCTTGCTCCTTTGGTAAATTAACCCTCGTTGATTTTTTAAACAACACCCAGGGCTCTCTAAATTAATTGCCTTGTGTAGCTTGAAAGGTTTAGCAGGATTACTACAAAAAACAGGGCTTCTCAGATGAGCTATTGTTATGTCCTGACAACTTTACCCAATGGACAAACACACAACTGCAACTGTTCCCTTGCATAAATGACCATAAAAAAAAAATAGGGTGTTTATGAGGTGAAAGATGAGAGAATAACGAGAGACAAACCCCGCTGCTTTTTGGCTTTAATGTGCAGGACTAATAAAGGGCAACTCCTTGTCTGGGCTCTAACTGCGACATTTTACCTATGTGCTGTAGGTGTTGAGCTTCAGTTGAGGATGGCGGGAGATTCCAGAATCCTCATGGACCACAACATGGAGATAGGTGTCACGCCTGCACAGGTAAAACTAAAGAGACAAACCTATTCATGCAATGGACTATACATCATAAAGTAGATTTGTCACGTCAGAGAGAAGAGTGTATCAAGAGAGATGAGCGAGAAGAAAGAAAAATAAAAAAAATTCAAAATGATGCAAGATCTAGAGTCTAGATCCGCAAATCCGCAAAAGTTTGTCTAGATTCTAGACGAACTTTTTGGGTGATGACTTGAAAGTTGGTCGTCTTCATGAGAGAGCACTAAAATGGAAAACTCTTGGTGAAGGATGCAATCGGTATCTTTGGGAGAGCTAGAGGATGTTCAGTTGTTCCGATGCACGCTTGCCAGGATCCCAGGTGTGAAGTGAGAGGACATTGGCGCAAAAGAGTGAGGCAGAGAGAAGCAATGGAGCCAGATCGTTCATTGGAATTGGGCCAACAAAGAGCCAACGTCCTTGGGTTTTTTTTTTTTTAACCTGAGTGTTCTCCCCCTTGCTCCCTGTATATACTGATCTACTATATCAACACCATTCATGATTTAGTCAAGTCAAGTCACACTTATTTATATTGCCCTTAATGACAAAACATCTCAAAGGGCTTCACATGCCCACAGTTGACTAATATTAACTACATCCCCTGATCTTAACCTGCAGGAGGGCAAAAAAAAAAACGTCAAAAAACAGCAAAAAGAAAAAAGATTTTGACCAGTTGTCGATCATGAATCAACAGCCCCTCCTGGATGAAATCATTTATTTTCAAAGATCGGCCATTTTCACACTTTTTTTTTTTAAACGTTGTGTGTGCATTTTTCATGACTCATCATTTGTAAATACTCAGTTTTGCTTGTGAATTGTTGAATGGGCAGCAGCGGGGGGGGGGCAAAGAAGTAGCAGCAGACAGACGAGGGAAGGGCCTTTGCACGCGTCAACATTTTGGAACTTGTGTGTGTGTGAATATCTTTAAAACTGCATGACGTTTGTCTAAAAAAAATAAATGTCTGTGCCCGCTGATCCACAAACACACATGAAAGAGCACACAAACAAAATTGAATATTTACAAATGATAAGTCGTGATAAATGCACACACAACATAAAAAAAAAATCCGCAAGGAAAATTGCGAGTATATTTGTGTAAATAATTGCGAAGACAATCTCCGCCCACACTCTCCGTGTGGGTTTTCTTCGGGTATTCTGGGTTCCTCTCACATTCCAAAAAACATGTCTGGTAGGTTCATTGAAGACTAAATTGTCCGGCGGACAAAATGTTTGCATGAATGGTTGTTTGTGGATGTGTGCCTTGCAATTAAATGACTGCTTCTGGTCCAAAGGTCAGCTGGCACATGCACAACCCCGGTGAGGATACGCAAAATTAAATCCTGTGCATCCTTTGCTACACGATTGGATCTTTCCAGAAAATGTTAAGGTCCTTTATGGTTATTGAAAAGTAGTGAAACGCTCTCTCTTTCTCTGACATTGCCTCTTTATCTGCTCTCTCTAGGTGAAGAAGCTTCCTAAGCACTTACGGGAGGCCCAGATATCAACAGAGCGAACACACTTGATATCCGACCCCTCCAAGAAGCCACGTCAACGCTATGTGCAAAAGGACGGCAAATGTAACGTTCATCATGGAAACGTGCAAGAGACCTACCGTTACCTCAGTGACTTGTTCACCACACTCGTCGACCTCCGCTGGCGTCTCAGTCTCTTTATTTTCACGCTCGTCTATGTCGTCAACTGGCTTTTCTTTGGCTTCCTGTGGTGGCTGATCGCGCTCATCCGCGGGGATCTGTTGCATGCGGATGAAGAGGGCTGGACCCCTTGCGTGGAGAACCTCAACAGTTTTGTCTCCGCTTTCCTCTTCTCCATTGAAACTGAGACCACCATTGGGTACGGCTATCGGGTCATCACGGAAAAATGCCCAGAAGGTATCATCCTGCTTTTGGTGCAGGCCATCCTGGGTTCCATTGTGAACGCCATGATGGTTGGCTGCATGTTTGTCAAGATCTCACAGCCAAAGAACCGCGCCGAGACCCTCATGTTTTCGCACAACGCTGTCATATCGGTGCGAGACAACAAGATGTGCCTGATGTTTCGGGTGGGGGACCTGAGGAATTCTCACATTGTGGAGGCCTCCATCCGAGCAAAGCTTATCCGCTCGCAGCAGACCAAGGAGGGGGAGTTCATCCCGCTCAACCAAACTGATATCAACATCGGCTTTGACACGGGAGATGATCGCCTGTTCCTGGTGTCGCCGCTCATCATCTCGCACGAGATCAACGAAAAGAGCCCCTTCTGGGAGATGTCCATGGCACAAATGGAGAAGGAGGAATTTGAGATCGTGGTCATCCTCGAGGGCATGGTGGAGGCCACAGGTATGAAAGTGAAACAGAAAATGGGAGGGTTGTGATCAACTCCTCCACGGATACTCACAAAATACGGTTTTAGAAATTATATTGTAATGGGCGAATCTCGAGAAACGACAGCTTGTAGTCGAGAGCGGTGGTCCTAAACCACCAGTACATGACCCGGTCCACAGATGTTGGGTACCGACCGCGCAGATAGAGAGGAAAAAAATAAACATATTTTTGTTGATGTTATTTATGTACGCAATTAGCCTGACCCCACCGTTCTTGGCGATTGATTTCTGATTGGGAATACAGGTCAACACTCCACCTCGCCAACAATCTGGACAAACATGAACTGGCACCAGTGGGCGGTATACGAAATGGAATTTAATGTGCGCGTATTTCTTCGAAGCTGACCCAGTTCGGCAGAGGAGCTGGTAAATGTAAATGTCACTTAAGGATAAGAATCTCCCATACCATCTTAGACGTGAAGATACAGCCACCCGCGGCTCCACTGTTGCTACTTCAAGGTTTTCTTTGATATTTTTATTGCAAAATGAGAGACGTTTAGCAACCCGCACTGATGTTTGTTTGGTTTGGGTAAATGCCAAGCCCTTCAAAACTGCTTCAGGCCGGTTATTTTTAAAAGACAGACAACACCGGGTATTTCTGTAAAGTTCCCAAAACCTATTTCAATCTCAGGATTTACGATATTTTACTGAAAAACTGTCAAAATGGTCTCCGGAAAGCCTCAACACCACTTCCCTGACTCTTAAAATCATCTTAAATGTGCGAAAAATGCCCCATAGCTAGCTGTTAAGCGTCTTCTCGAAAGAGCTTTCCCTCTCTTTTAGCTGAAGCGGGAATTCTAATTTGCTCGAGCCCTTTCTTGGCCACTCTTGAATGCGTAAATTTATTTAGAAAAATGTACAGTATAACACATACCGGCACTGAGAATAGTGAGATGTATCATTTGACTTAGTAAATGAGACACACTGACTAATTAGGACGGTTTACACTCCTGGATAAACATGAACAAAGCACAACACTCCCTGGTGCGATCAGGCAGGGCTTTGCATGCATCGGAACATTTCTGCTCTATTTCACATTTGATTTTTATATTTATTTTCTATCCCAAAGCACCAGTAGTCATCATGCTTCCTGATCACACCGCCGGATACTTGACTCAGGCATTAAATCACCCCTCGCTTCGCTAGCACAAGCCGCTGCGGCGTTCAGGGGTTAGTGTCATCACTGTCCTTCTCCTCCGGGCAAGTGGCCAATCTGGCTATTGCCTATAGCCCAACCAACACCCCCTCCACGCACAATGTCCCCTTGAGACTCTTAGAAGTGGTTGCAAGCTTAAGCCTGAGAAATGCAAGTTAGCTTATTTTGACGATTTGTCATCGCATGCCCCGGTAGCATTCGTGACAGTCCTCAGAGCCAAACAGGACTTTGGTTTACATGACAGAAAGCCAACCCAGAGCTGTGCCACTGCGTCACCAATACCTCATCCCGGTGACACCGTTCAACTCCATTGACAAAGCAGTGATAAGAGGTTGCCGGTTCTTTGTTATGATGTCATGGGTGAGCACGCGCGCCAGGGACATGTGGGCATCGCCCCCAAGCGACTGACGTAATACCGAATCAGGAAAGAGTTGTCGCTCGCCTGGTGCCAGTTTTTGCAAGATCGAAGCTCCGACTAAAGAAACATTTGTTCATTGCAAAGCTTGTTTGCACGCTGTTGCTAACTAAAACAGCAGCACGTTGTCAAAGCATGTAAAAAGACTTTCGGATGAATTCAAGTGTGAAATCTTACACTGCACAGTTTCAAGGGTGAAATCGAAAACACACAAATAGGTTTTATCACCCAGTCTGCCCAAGTCCACAAGGTCCACTTGAGATAAATTGCGAGATAATGTCAACGTTGATTCATGTTAACCCCCAACATGTGTTTGTCCAAATAAAAACAGACCAGCCACCCACCCCCCCACCAGCACTTAAAAGACATTGTCTTTTCATATCGTTTCCGTACTGTAAATGTCATGATGATGTTAAATATGTCAAGACAATTGTCTCATTCTGGCAACAAAATCTGAGTGAAAAGACAGTCAAACTTCAAAAATATTAATTGGTACCTCTAAGATTAATTGGTATTATTTTGCCCCAACCGTTTTTTTATTTTGCCAACCAACGTGTGTTAACATCCACTTGCACGTAATGACTGCGGATGAGTGTCGACAGCAGAACAGTGCACTCATAACCTCTAAAGTGTCTGTTTGTTATCGATATATTCTGGTAGTTGTTTTGGCAACTTCAAAGTCAGCTGAGCAAACATCTTCGTGAGTATGCTGCAGTTATTAGCGTTTCGGTGTCAGCGAGGCCCTGTCGTGTGTGTGTGTGTGTGTGTGTGTGTGTGTGTGTCCATGTTGCCGACAACAAACCTTGTTGTCATTGTAGAACGGTCCCTGACGAGTGTACGTTCATGTCAGTTTTGTCATCTTTTATCCATTGTAATATTGATATGCCAAATAAGGAGTGTTTTGTGCAACACAGTATAGTTTTTTTTTTTCCGAATGGAACAGCCAGATCTTGGAAATATTACGAGCTACTCGTGCTTTTTCTGACGCATTCATGTTTGAATATTTCCATTGATCACCATGCTATCTGTAAAAGTTACACTACAATTATCTGGTATCTAATTTAGGTATGCAACTGCACTAGTTTTTTCATCTACCTGTGTGTGTGTGTGTATATATATATATATATAAAGAGAGAGAGATAAACCGACCAATGAAAAAGTAGGCTTGCATATTAAAATATCTATCGACTGGTCAGCGGAACTTTCCACCAAACACAAACACATACACTACTTTGGACTAATTCAATGTGTCCATAAGACCAAAGACACATTCAAAAGGGCCTTAACACAGATGGGTCTGCAGCCAAAGTATAGTGAAGAGTACAACATTCCCTTTAAAAATGCGCTTGGATTCTGAAACATCTTGAGGTTTTTTTTTTGTTTGTTTGTTTGTTTTTTTGTTGTTTTGTTTTTCTGCCAACATCACGCCCGAAGCTGCAACACGCAGCCAAATAGTCAGCTCGGTAAGAACATGACATGATGAAGATTGGAAAGCCTTGAGGGGAGCATATCCCCAGCGTAGTCAGGAATAAACACAAGGATAGATAATTCTACGAGGAACAAAGCTTAGTCAGCTTGAGAATTTAGTGTCTATGGGAAGCCTCGAGGGAAAACACGAGGGCAAACTACAAAGCAACGGACTCGGAGGAAAACAAATACGTGTACATGACCTTGGCTGTCCAAACATTTAACGTGATAACGTGTTAACTCCCACGTATTTGGAGAATTATCACGGGGACTTGATATGTGGGCAATGTTGGTAATTAGCCTTGACCTCTTGACAATGGTTTCATAGCATCCAGCGCACAATAAGCATAATGCAGCTCACCTAAATGGAACAGCCTTAATTCTGGAATTAAGTTCTCTTTTATGTGTCTGTCTATCTTTCTGGGTTGAAAGGTCTGCTTTCAAGGGGTGCTTCTATACCCGAATCCTGAATGGAGGCGGATCACTGTAATGTGGTTCAATTATTGTTCTTCTTGCTTTCACCACTGTGACCTTACACAGTATTTAATAGACAGCGATCCAGTGGCAGTTCCAAAGACTGTTAGGATCCATGATTTGGGAGATTCTATTGGTGTTATAGTTTGCATTGTAACGTTTATGGTTTTGTGAGAATGTTTTTTGAAACAGTGGTACCCTCTACTCACAAACAAAATTCTCATTTTTTTTATGTTTGTGAAATTTGGCAGGGCACTTTATCTTACCTACCGAAAGTCAGTGTAACATTTAGACTTCTGTATGAAATCCATCCATTTTCTGATCCGCTTTATCCTCACAAGGGTCGCGGGGGGTGCTGGAGCCCATCCCAGATGTCTTCGAGCAGTAGGCGGAGGACACCCTGAACCGGTTGCCAGCCAATCACAGGGCACACAGAGACGAACAACCATCCGCGCTCACACTCACACTTAGGCACAATTTCGAGTGTTCAATCAGCCTGCCGTGCATATTTTTGAATTGCGGGAGGAAGGCCAGAGCCGGGATCGAACCTACAACCTCTGCACTGTGAGGTCGACGCGCTAACCACTCATCCGCCGGGCCGCTTCTGTATGAAATCAGAAACCATAAAAATACATATTACTCCTCCAGTTAAGACAAGCAACATTTTCATATAAAAACAAACAAAGGCTGACTTTCATAATTCTGTCACAGAAAAAAAAAAAAAGAAGGCAAATATTTGGCGAGTTAAAAATAAAAACCAGGCCGTCACTATCCAGACGGAATGAAAAAAGAAAAGTCTATGACCACCTCCTTGTCCAGCTGTATAAGACACCGCGTCAAACTGAATCAAGTGTTCTTCTATTTTTAATCCCATCGAAATCACGCTTTGTGTCACGGGCAGAAAGAGAGTGAGCAAATTAGGCGCAATGTAATTGGTTGAAAGGATTAATCTACGGCGGCCCGATGGTCCACTGGTTAGCACGTCCGTCTCATAGTGCAGAGGTTCTGGGTTTGAATCCGGGCTCCGGCCTTCCTGTCTGGAGTTTGCATGTTCTCCCCGTGCCTGTGTGGGTTTTCTCTGGGTACTCCGGTTTCCTCCCACATTCCAAAAACATGCATGACAGGATGATTGGACACTCCAAATGTATGGTTGTTTGTCTCCATGTGCCATGCGATTGGCTAGCAACCGGTTCAGGGTGTCCCCCGCCTACTGCCCGAAGACAGCTGCGATCGGCTCCAGCACCCCCCCGCGACCCTTGTGAGGATAAAGCGGTTCAGAAAATGGATGGGATGGATTCATCCACTGACAACACGTTCACCTCTCGAGGAATACGAGAATCAGTCAGGCAAATTCAAGATCACAAAAAGCCAGCCTGAAAATTTGGATTGGATACTGTCTACAATTTGGTGCTCTTGCTTTTGCGTGGAGCATAAATTCCAAGCAGCTCGGGAAAGATGGAGTAGGTTTAAAATTCTCAAAAAGAGCACCGACGGGGTCAACATACTCTAAGTGCAGTGGATAACATGCTCATAAAGCCGAGTGGGTTATTTGGATAGTTTTAATAAAACTGCTTCAGGGCTGTGATCTGCCGGGCAGTGAAAAAAACAGTATTTCTTACCTTTCACAACTGGTAATTTTGCCGACAGAAATATGTACGTGATTTTAAATATTTAATACGTACAGCGATAGAATTGCTACGGCTGTTAGTTTGATGGATACCGTGGAGGAGCGGAGTTTTCGGTATGCAGTTAGAGTATCAGCATGAAAAATTTACTGACGTCTCTCTCCCCTTTTCTTTTCATCTGTCTGTGTGTTTGTTTTTCTGTCTTCTTTGGATGTTTGTCTCTGTTTTTCTGTGTTCATACCTTTAATTTGTGTGCATGTGTGTGTGTGTGTGGATACGCCTGCCTGGATCCGGATTAGGGATGACGTGTCAAGCCAGGAGTTCCTATCTGGACACAGAAGTGCTTTGGGGTTACCGCTTTACACCGGTTCTCTCTCTGGAGAAGGGCTTCTATGAGGTCGATTACAACAACTTCCACGACGTCTATGAGACCAACACCCCCGCGTGCAGCGCCAAGGAAATGGCGGCGAAGCTTCGGGATGGGCCGCTATTGCCGCAGCTGTCGCTGTTGAGCACCGAACCAAAAATGCATACTTTTGGCCTGTCTGACTTGGACCCACTTAACCAGGATGAAGACAAGGAGGAAAGAGAATCAGGAGGTGACAAAGGAGAGACTAACGGCTCGGCGGCTGCTTTGGAGGAGACTCCCTTTGCTGACGGATTGCCTGGCTGATTAGCCATCAGACAAAAAAAAAAAAAAAAAAAAACTCAACCGGAGAGGATTGGACAGTATGATATTTAATTTAGTCAATGGCCATCTTGTCGCATTGCAAAGCTTAGAGAAACAGAAAGTGTTCTCCAGCCACTGAACCATGCAATACTCCTCTTCTCGTACTAGAGCATCAATCTATAGAATGGATTGCTTTTTAGACATGTACTGTAAGCACCAACGCACATCTATATCGTCACATAAAAGTTGGTTTTAACTGATTGTCTTTTTATAATCTTATCATCATACCCACCGACCACGATGCCAGCTAACAACAGCAGGGTACACACAAAGACGACATGACAAGACAATACAGCATTATATTGTTCAAACGGTGTGAGGTGTACTCATAACACAGCACACCACACACTTGATCTGTCCGCCGACAATCAGAGTCTTGTCCGCCCAAAAACAGAAGTCTCACGTGAGCAAACGACATAGAAGCCGGACTGACCTGTGAGAGGCAGAAATCCGCAGGTGGGTATCCAGACTGCTAGGGGAAAAAAAACAACAACAAATAAAGCAAGCAGCAGCGGGAAGGCTACCTGTAAGAATTTCTTGCCACAACTTCTCCTTTGTCATTTCTTTTTTGCGGTAAGATTTGGATAACACTCAACTCAATGAGCTGACTCTCTGATTCTGAAGTCCTCTCACTGTGAGCTTTGCATCTGTTGCCATTGCCGTTTGTTTCTTTTCATATGCTCATGTGATGATTGGTAATCGTTTCGTGACACTGAACGGTCCCAGAGCTCCATGTCCTGTCGACAATATTCCAACATGAATATTGAACATGATGCCTATTTGTCGGCTCTAACCAGGGAAGGTAAAGGATGACTGGACAGGATAATCATCACACATCAGTTGATGGGGTCTTTTGCCGGCTTTGGCTGGAACAGGGAGAATCAGGATCAGACTCAGGATTATCTTTATGTGTGTGCCCTGCTTGACTTGTACGAGATTTGTATGAGAAAGTTGAGCTGATACCAGTAGACGAGACAGATTGCACTGTGCTCCTTATGGATATAGCTGATTTCGCTAATGGATATGCTAGTCTCTTCACTCGGATGGCATGCTCTCAGTATGGGCTAATTACTTGTCGGAACATATACAATGCGATCCAAATGCAACCTGAACTCAACCAATATGCAGTTTTCGTTTGTGTAGCTTCACATCCGTGTGACATCGAATTTTTTGCCCTAAAAGAATCCAGCTTGCACCTCATTCTATGCTTATTTTTGGGGTAATTAGCTGTAGCAGAGGCTGGTGCAGGAAGATGCTATTGTGTGGCTGACTGACTTGAAGTAAGATTCCGCCCTCCCCCCCCCCGACTATTGTGAAGTGTCATTTCATCAAAAGCAGTAGTAAATACGAAATGAGCAACGGTTAACATGCTTTTTGAAATTGACAAGACAGTCTCGGCATTGTGTTACAGAAGCCCAGCCAATTGATTCCTATGCGACGACTCGTATTGTGGTCAAGACCACATAAAATGAAACCCATGTCAAGACCAAAACTGTCTTTGAGGACCAAGAAAACCGAGGCAGCCTATATTAAATCTTTCAGAAATCTATAAAATGTGAAGAAAATGGCGGTCACTCATCGTGTAGTGTTTGATGGGGCTGAATTTCACGCAGCCAGTGTGGAATTGATTTGCGCTCAATTACCGCAGGTGTGGATGTGAGTGGGAATGCTTGTAAGTCTGTGCTGTCGACCATCTGGGGTCAACCCAATCCAGTCTCTGTTTGTCCATTGACCTTGGATAACCCGCAGTTACCAGTGACCCTGATAAGCTGTGGAAAACGGCTCGACGGATGGTCATTTCAGCAGCTGAAATTCAGCTAATAAAACAAAATACTGGTTCAGTATCCAATCACGGTCGTTACTTTCAAAAACAAATAAGACAATGCTCGGCTGAAGCACTCCTGTTGCTGCAGTTTTGGTCTTGACAATGAATCCAGTGACCTATTTTCTCCAGTTTGATACCTGACTCAGCTAAAATGCAATCAATGACTCTTAATCGGTCCCGAGACCAAGACAAAACTATCTTTAAATCATCAACTAATACAGTATTACACAGTACTGTGCAAAAGTCTTAGTTTACTCCTAGTTTTATGTATTGTTTTTTTTTTTTTTCTGGCATTCGGATTTAGAAAAACTATCATTGATAGGAGGAGTGGAATAAGCCATAACATTTCGGTGGATGATCAAGACAAAATTGAAGGTACGGTATCACTGGTACTATGCACCCCCATTTAAAAAAAAAAAAAAAAAAAAAGCATTACAAACAAATTGGCACTGCCCATCTTTTTGTCATCCTCCCAAAAAATATGAAATTGCTTGTGATCTTGAAAAACAGACAGACTGTCTTCACTTCTTCACAGTCATGAACTTGACTGAGTGACATTCAAGTCACATTTAGCCATCGTAGGATTGTTCAAACAACAAAGCAATTGGTGACCTTGACTTTTGCGTAGTAAACCGAATCCCTTTGATGACGGTAGGTTTGATGAGGGCGATTAAATTACCCAACGGGCTACTACTGCTGGTTGATGCATGCTGGTTCTTGGTGGAAGTGGCTCTTGATTTTATAGCAACTGTTTTTCCATCCCTCCATCCATAAAAGAAACGATCCCATGTGTGTTTATGGAATATTTATTCATAAGGGAATCTACCTGCATAAACACTTGCCTACAGCAACGACGGGAAAAGCTTCCCTGTCTCATCTCCATCATTTGGGGTGTTTCATGATGACTCTCACTGGTCCTCACCATATTACTTGAAGGGTTCTTCATCATTCTCCATTTTCAGGCTCCATTTGTTTGCCAAACTGTCCTTTGTCTTCTGTTTAATGGGCCTTGTTTGGAAGCAGACAAGTGTTTCTGATCGGGCCATAGCGGACAGTAGTCAATTGACTTGCATGAGGTGACCCCTATATCCTCAACTTCTAAGTATAAAATACATTTTAACACAGTTCAAGATACAGGGTATTTTCTAGGCACGTAAAATGTCTGCAATATAAATGACATTTTAATATCCAACTGTCATTGATTAAATTATAGATCCCTAATCGTTTTCGAATGCTCAATTTTCCTTTTTCGAGGATGTATTTATTTTCACTGCATCTGACTATGTATCCCATTTTCCAAATGATAGGTTTGTTGTTAGAGAGCCGTCATCTTTCCTCGCAGGAATGTCATCTGTTTTGTTCTCATGGGAATAAACATAATACAGCCATAAGAACGGAACATGTTCTTGGGAATGTGTTCACGCATGAACGAGCAGGGGCAACATGATTTGCATGTGATTTATTTCCTGCGCAGACACGATCCTAAAAAAGGAACAGAAATGACCTTTGTGTAGAAGAGTGGGACAAGGCATTTTGCTGTAACAAATTGACAAAGCTGCAGTTGCAATACATAAATACGTAAAAATTGGATTAGCTGCATATGGCATGATAAATACAAGTTTAAATTATCAGTACAGCACATCTTGTGTAGTGAAGCCCGAGGCTAAATCCTGTTCGTTGCATTTAGGTAACCCTTGTGAGATAAGCTCCGCTATCAACTAGCTAGCAGCTTGCACAAGACTATAACGCTGCAGCGCTCCAGAGTTGTACACAAACATTGTACATCAAACATCACAAATTGATGACTTAAAATGCACAATAATCACACGCATGATCCAAATCAAAGTCCTATGTATACAAAGCGCTAGAGCTAACGGTGCTAAACACCACTTAAGAGAAGCCACACTTTACGCAGTCACATGACACTGAAACAGTCTGGTTGAAAGTACTTGAACACAACCAAATTATTTCTGCGTTAAATAAGTCTCATGATTACTTTACTGTAAATCACAGTAATTATTTTTCTTCTCTTCTCATTGTACTTCTTTTAGAAAAGGTGTCAGAAATGCATCAGAAAAAAAGCGAAGCACATGTAGCAGGTTGATCATTTGATCTAATGGAATCTGACAGTCATTATCACAGCTCAGTTCGAACGCAGCAGTTTTCAAAATTGCAATTTTAGATTAGTTCCATTGTATATCAATTATTTGTTACTGACACGCAGAAAAGGGGATGACTCTTCAGCGGGAACATTTTCTGAAAACTAACAGTCTGATGGATTCTCAAGGATTAAATAGGGAATTCAAAATTCAGCAGGATCTCTGAGTCATCTTTGTGCTTGACGGGCAAATATAAAAAAGTTGGCGTAGCGATTAATGTTCCCAAAGAACTATTGCCTAGCGACAGGAAACACAAGAAACTCTATGCAAGGCAGATTTAACCAGCACTCTACAGTAGTAACAACAGGAACATGATGTTAGATTCAAAACGGAAGGTGTGCAGGATGTGGGGGCCAAATTCACAGAATCCCTGCAGTGTCCTGTCAAGGCTATTCCTGTCGGGCTATTAAATTTTGGAACCCAGAATGTCAGTGCCTGATTAAAAATTGAATAATGTACGATGATGAATAAATGCATGCTTTGAATGGTGATTTGAAATTTTTACGCTGAGCATGCGCAGGGCGGTGTGTGTGTGTGTGTGTGTGTGTGTGTGTGTGCGCGCAAGAGAGACAGACAGACAGACAGAGAGACTTGAGCACCCAGAGCAAGTCTGGTGTAAAACGCAGTCTAACTGTTCACATGGGCGGAGTTTTCTTTCTTTTGGTATTTTGCTCCACTTTGCATGGGTAGAATCGGGCGTAACGGAGTGTTTGCACAATTACGAAATGCAAAATATCCCTATAAATAACATTCCTCATTTGCCGTAAATTCAGGATGGTCGGAGCGCATGCCATTCTTGACATTTCGGAAACAAGAAATCGACTTGCTGGGTTCCATACATGACGTTGGCAGGTAAACTGCAAGAGCTCCCCTTGCGGATGATGAAGTCGGTTGTGCATGTGATGTGAGCAATTGGAAGCTTCCTTGCGCACACGGCTGTATGTCTGTGTATGAGCCCCTTCACCCAATAGTTGTGTCGTGTGGTCAGGGAGGTTCTACTGTAATGATAATCATTTTTACATTGTCATAAACCGGGGACACAATTTCCTGGCATTAACAACCAAACACTAAATTTGAGTCTTCGGCTGACAAAGTTAAGGACGGCTGATTTCTTACACGATACCGCTCTTCTACCTCATCTTCAATGCAAGATACAGCGACATTTAGCATCCTTATGTGCTTGCCAAGTCATATGCCATTAAGAGTCCTCTGTGAGTTCCCTTGAAAGGTTGCTCTCTGCACTGACTGCAACAAAACGCCCTGGGAATCCAGTGATTGTGATTATACAAAAAAAAAAAAAAATTGCAAGTACAGTACAGGTATTAAGTCTTCAGACACAGCTAGCCAGCCAACCAATCGGGATATGTGGCAAAGCAAGGTTAGGCAATCAGGGACAAGATTCAAAGGGAAGAACACGTGAACTGAGAAAAAGAAAACAACAAGCAAAGCTGACAATGTTCAGTTTTTTCCCCCCGCAAAATAACAAAATGCAGCAACATGCAATCTCTTCACACATTATGAAACACACTGAACACAGATCAAACAGTGTCTGAAATAGAGAGAGGGTCGCAAGTAAAAAAGCTTCACTGGGCCGAGAAACCTTTGCCTGATCATGGCTGCAAAAGAGATATTGCCTTTGATCACAATTTCTAGAGTGCTTCTCTCCCAAATTTCAGTTGCTGGGAAGTGCACATGAAAGCAAAATCATTTCCAAACTCAGCGATTTGCTGCTCGAGACCAAGAGAACTTCTTCCCTTTGATGAATCTCAATTCTACAGTTAAAGGGTATAATTTTACTCAAGTGGACACAAGAGTTGCCTTCATGTTGATTTTCACAATGAGTCTTTCCATTCTCTGAAGACCACCATAAAAGTACCGTATTTTCTGCACTATAAGGTGATTCGGAGTATAAGGCGCACCTTTATTGAATGGCCTATTTTGAAACCATTTTCATCTATAGGGCACACCGCATTATCAGGCGCATAGAATAGAAACTACAGTATCGGCTGCAATTGCGTTATGCATCCACTAGATGGAGCTACGCCAAAGGGAATACTGTACAATACAAAACAAGACAGCTTCATTTATATAGAGCCTTCACAACTGCTGCACCTAGAACAAAGTGCTTTACAGAACATTTTTAAAATACTACATCCAAGATATCAGAAGATATGTAAGGAACATCGGATTAAAAATCGCATTGTCGGCTTTTGAGAAAATTGAATGCTTTTAGGTGCGCCTTATAGTGTGGAAATTACGGTACTTCCATTTCAGAGCGCAACCCACTGTTCACATTGTTTTGAAGGACAAAGTAAAAACAAGAGGTGATTGCCCTTGTGATAGTTTTTGTCATGTCTTCAGCAGATGAATGAATATTAAATGTAATTTCCGGTGAATTAAGACTAACTGATTGGATTGGGTGAGTGAATTTCCCATCAAACTGCTGATTTCATCTTATTATTTTCATATTATTGTTTTTTAAACATGTATTTTGATATGCCTGCAGCATTCGATTATGTCAGGAATGTTATAAAATTCTGCTCATGGATGATGATTCATACCGCTGTGTAAGTACTTTTTTTTTTTTTTTAATCCTGATTGGATTAAGGTCTGTTCCGGTATATCTCAAGAAAGTCAGATGAGCTAATATTACCGGTCCAAAACATTGCTCAACCGAACCTGACGGACTTCACACAGCCCATATTTAAGAAACGAGCATTACTCGCTGCATCAATCGGTAAGGGTTTCATAACCTAGTTAGGCTACCCATTTGCTCCCAATTTGCTTTGTCAAACCCAGGTGCTGCCCTTTTTTATGGCCGGCCATGGTACATTTTCTTGTACAAATGTACGACAAAGGCCATTCTTTATACATCTCCTGTTGCGATAGCAGACAAAGCTCCCGTGTTAGACTGACTTTCGAGCAAAATAAACAAGCTGCCAGGGCTGCGTGTCGTGGGCAGGCAGTGTGTTGCTAATAGGCATTTGAGGAGCAACCACCACATTAGCATCTGTCAGGTCCAAAATGTCATTTCTATTTATGTCACTGATTGTTTGAAGATTTGTTTTGTACCTATCGCAGCAGCTTTTCAAAATGTTAACCCTTTCAAGCTCTACTACCGGTACACTTTGTTTTTCAAGGTTCTTGAACAACTAGCGTGCACAACAGGACGTATGCTCTAAAAGTGTATTAGATATGCACAGTGTGTCTCACTCATCTCCTGTATTACATCACGAGATTTGATTAACTGTATCAATTTAAGCTCTCTGTCTTTGTAGGTGGATAACAGAATAGCATTTCAATTTAATTCAGGCTACAGTAAGACAGCCATTATAAAACCAAATAAATATACACTTGGCCAGCCACAAAACAGTATTATGAGCACTCTGACAAACTGACATTAAAAAAAAAAAAAACAACAACAACAACAACAACAAAACCCAATGCTTTTCACACCGTGTGTTCTATTTGATCTGATTTGAGAGCCTTTGAAATGTGGAGGAGAAAGCGGGCAAGGATGTGCGAGATCTCATCAATGATAGAGATAAATCAATATAGTTCCACACAAGCGCCAAATGCAGTCATCGCTTTACTTTGACTGGGAGCTTCATGATGAAGACACCCTTTGTTCTGAGTGCATTTCTATGATACACGAGATTCGCTTTGCTTTCTCTTAGCTTTTGTTGCAATTTGTAGAATCTGCTAGCTATTCAGCTAAAACCAATGGCAACAAAAACATTCAGAACAAAAATTGTTATGATGTAATTTGATTCATTCAGGACTGGACCGTGTGACAAATTTGCCCCCACACACACACACACACACACACACACACACACACACACACACACACACACACACACACACACACATGCACATGCACACACAAATTCGCACCCCCTTAAAATGTTTATACTTGCCTCCATTTCTTGGAGAAACTAACCCCCTAACTCCAACCCTCACCCCTAACCTCTAACCCTAACCACAAATTCCTAACCCTAACCTCTGAACTCCAACCCTAACCCCTAACCCAGGGGTGTCAAACTCAGGTCCTGGAGGGCCGCTGTCCTGCATGTTTTCCAAGTCTCCCTGTTGCAACACACCTGATTCAAATGAACAGATCATCAGCAAGCTCTGCGGAAGCCTGACATTGAACCTGTTCATTTGAATCAGGTGTGTTGCAACAGGGAGACTTGGAAAACATGCAGGACAGCGGCCCTCCAGGACCGGAGT